CCAGCAAAAAAGATCGACACTTGTCCCTCCGCCTCCCTTGCGCGGCGCGACTCTCTTTTTTCTCCTGGCCTAGCCTAGCCTAGCCCGCCCTTGGTGCTGCCCTTCTCCCTTAGGTGCACCCCCTCCCCACCACCCCTGACCCTGAACAAAGCTTCCCGTTTACGGTCGACCTCAACCACTCGCTGGCACGCCCGCCGCGCCCGACAAAACCACCGCCAGCACAACGCAACAAGAGCTCAGCCTCGTGGTTCTCAGCAGGCCCAGTCCCTTCCGTTTGCCTCTCCCTCGCTTGGCCTCCCTTCCAAGCAAAGCACAAATTATTCACACCCCATCGCGGCACACCCCCTTCTCACTTGTGCCGGTCCCACCTGAATTAACCTCGCCGCCACTTACACGCACACCCCTCTCACTTACCTTGTGTCTTTTGTCTTTCTTGTCCACCACAAGCAACGCAAAAGCTCCCTTGAAAATATATTATTCCTGGGCCACTTCTCAAATCTCACATTTCACATTCCTTTCCTCAAGAAGATCTCTTGTTCCTCTTGTTCTGTGTTCAGTCGTTTCTTTTTTTTTGTTAGCCTTTTCCTTTTCATCATCTCCCAACCTTCTCTTGATCCTCTTCAAGAGTGAACAGGGTTTCTTCATTCTTTGTTCGTATACATCGACAAAGATATATAGAAACGGGACTGCTGGGCTTCACGTTTCCAAGATTCGACTAAACCTTAATTTTCTCGGCAACCTTCGACAACGACATCGAATTCGACTTTCGACTTCGACTTCGATACTCCACGACAAACATTACGACATTTGTTTATTTTTTTCAAGTTAGAACGCCTCCCCTCACACTCTTCTCACAATGGACTCGACACAGCTCAGTATGGCCGAGCTCAACGCCGCCGCCCTGGAGCAGTTTGTCTTCACACCCGTCAACCGCGACATGATCCGCTACCTCGCCGACGCCGCCGCCAACGTCATCCAGTGCGATCCCAACATGATGCCGCCCACCGCCTCCGAGGTCCAGCGCCGCACGCTACCCACGCCGCCTGGCTCGCCCTCCCACTCACCCGCACCCCGTGCCGTGCGCCGTGAAGACGGCGGCCTGCCATCTCTCGAGGAGTTTATCAGCCAGCTCGTCGTCTCCTCCAATGTCCAGGTCCCCACCCTCATGAGCACTCTGGTCTATCTAAACCGCCTCAAGTCTCACCTCCAGCCCATGGCCAAGGGTCTGCGCTGCACCACGCACCGCATCTTCCTGGCCTCGCTTATTCTGTCCGCCAAGTACCTGAACGACAGCTCCCCCAAGAACAAGCACTGGGCCAACTACAGCGTCATCACCACCGAGTTCTACAACTTCGGCTTCTCCCGCACCGAGGTCAACCTCATGGAGAAGCAGCTGCTGTTCTTGCTCGACTGGGACCTGCGCATCTCCGAGGAGGACCTATATCACAACCTCGACGACTTCTTGGCGCCCATCCGCGAGGACGTTGCCGCACGCTTCGCTCGCCGCCAGCAGCGCCGCCGTCGCCAGAAGCTGCTGCTCCAGCAGCAGCAGGAGGAGGAGGAGCGCCAGCGCCAGATGGAGGCCCAGGTCCAGGCCCAGGCAGATGCTGCTGCTCAAGCACAGGCACAGGCCGCCGCGCGCCAGAAGCGCCAGGAGGAGGACGCCGCCATCTGGGCCGCCGCCACCGCCTCGGCCGCTGCCAACGGCTACCTGACCCCGCCGCGCCGCTCGAGCCATCTGTCTCTGTCGCTGTCCTCGCCCGCCTCGTCGTCCTTGCCCCACAAGGTGGTGGCCACCACGCCCGACGACGCCATCCTCATGGCCATGCCGAGCCTCACCTACAGCGCCAGCACCAGCTCGGCCAACAGCTACGCCTCGTCCCTCAGCTCATCGCGCTCGCACTCGCGCGCCTCGACGCCCCAGTCGCTGGTCGACCATCTGGACGCCGCCTACGTGCAATGCAACAGCGAGGACGAGGTCGTCGGCACGCCCAGCAGCATCCGCAGCAGCCACAGCACCAGCAGCCTGGCCGGCTGCAAGCGCGAGCGCGCGCTGACCAACGGCAAAGACAGCAGTGGCATCAAGGCCGTGCCCGCGGCGTACCTGCCCTACGAGATCAGCATGGAGGAACTGCGCGAGATCCAGGACGGCGGCAACCGTGTCAAGCGTGTGCGCGGCATGCTGGGCCGTGTCTTTGGCTCCACTGGTGTCCTGGTTCGCTAGGAGCATTTCACTGTTTTGTCTTTTCTTTCTCAGTTTGTTCATTTCTTCTTCTTTTCTTCTTATTCCCCCTTTTATTTGATTTTTATTTGATTTGTTTAGTTTGGGAAAAGCGCGGCGTTTTGAGATTTGCTTTTTTTTTCTTTTCTACGTACTATCATCAAACCGAAACATCCAACTGAGCATGACAACCATAATTTTTTTTACTCATTCTTGCATTTACACATATGGCGGATATCTTCAACGTTCTTTGTTTTCCTCCATCTCTTGTCTCTTATTCTCTTATCATATCTTTTTAACTCTCATATGTTATCATTTCTTAAATCACACGTCATCAATATCATTATTTATCTCATACACAAACGATTTATCATTTTAGAGGCTCGCTGCATAAAGACACTATGAATAAGGGAATCCAATGGGGGCATGGCACCCTTGATAATGGGGGTGCTGACTCCGGAGCGGAGTTTGTTTTGCCTCTTAACTCTCTCTTATTTTTTCTCTCCCACTGTCTTTACAGGCCGGTCGCAAACAAATTAGCACGGAACATGGCAGGTCCCATCCAGTGTCATCGCGCAGATACCACGTTTTCTTTTGTACTTCGTCTTCTTTTTAATGCTACTTTTTTGACCTCCCCTTCCATTGCCACTTCTGGCAACCTCATGGCCTATTCTGCATAAGTAGCTTAGATGCCCAACGAGCAAACAGCTTCATAATTTAAACAAAGATTTTTCAAAATCGATTTGTTCTCAAAAGATAATGTGCCGTTAAACGTCGCTGTAGCCACCTTCGTAGCCATTTTGTAACCAGCCTCTAGCTACTCCCCTCCTTTCTTGTACGCCGATCATATCCAATGTCGTGATATAACAGGGCAACAAGGGACTGCGGGACATGACCGCCCGTGCTTTTTCTGCGCCTGTTTGGTTGTCCGTTGTTGGAACTTAGCCCCGCCCACGAACCGCCCGTACGGGACCGAGATGAGAGCTGTATGCATACCCGCCTCATCCACAATGTCCTACCTCTCCATTAAGCGTTTCAGCCTCCCCGAACAGCTGAGTTATCGCGTGTGTTTATTTATTTTGAGGTGTGTATTTTTTGTGGTTAACAAGTTGGTCGCGTTGATGGCCGCAGAAGAGGCCGTGTTGACAAGAGATAATGATGTCGTGTCAAATAATATCAAGTTTCATCTGGGCCACGACTTTGCTCTGATCTGATCTAATTTCATCATCATCATCATCTTCTTCTTCTTTTTTTTTTTTTTTTGTCAGATAATACACATTCACTACAATGTTCATGATATTATCGTTTACTGACAACCAGTTGCCTGTTTACTTTTATCGGAAATAAAAGGCAGTCTAAACAACAACCATCAACTGTGGGGTGAGGATAGACAAAGCTAACAGCTCCCATCAAAACAACAAGTCTGCGGGGAGGAGTGCGGGACGAAAGGTCAAAAGTTAGAGCAGCCAGAGGTCCTTTGGTTCGATGTTGATGGCGGAAAATAACAGAAACCAAGAAAAACATAGGAGACAAACAGGGTGGTGAAAGCCGCAAGGTGTTGCGGTGGCCGGAGACCCAGCCCTGGCTCGGCTGCGCGCATGCTTGAATGTGTTTATGATGATATGTGCTCTGGTATTGACGACGGCCTGGTCCAGGCCAGCGGGGGGAAAGGCTGCGCTGGCCAACCGCTGTCCACTCATAACTCACAAGAGGGCTGTATCCAAAACGCGTGCCGTTGCATGAAGGTCGATAGTGGTTGCAGAAGGGGGTGGACGATTGTGATTGGACCAACCAACCTTGCACACACGCAACACATGAACACACAGACAGTGATGCGCTCTCATTTGATAGTGTCCTGCAAATCATCCAAGCCCAGCATCTCCAATTCATTAACCGTTCCCTTCTTGATGGTAGGCATAACAAGGATGGCAGCGGATCATTGATACCATGCTGGCCAAACCGCCCCCTTTTTCTTTCTTTCTCGCACTACCTAGGCCGACTTGTCAACGCTCATCAATGTGAAGCGACGGGAACGAGACTGCTGGGAAGAAAGCATACAGAGGGCACCTTTTCATGTTCATTACCACTCTCGGGTTTAATGGCGCACCAGCACAGCCAGCAAGTACACCCTTTCTTTTGTTGTTCGCAGCCTCGTCGTAACTCCCCATCCTCCTCCGATCCTCATTTTTTGTTTGTTTATGCCTTGAAAAAAGGCACCGTCTGCTTTGTCGAGAATAGAGACGAAGCCGCTTTTCTCTTTTCGTCCTGCGTCGTCATCTTTGTTTTATCTTCACACCCCCTACGCAAAACGGTCACGTTGCCTTCAGTCCCCTGCAACCGTTGCACTCATCGGTAGTTGTTTCTCTTCATCCTTCCTGTAGGATGTGGAAACCCCAGTCCAATGTGTCGTCATCTCGTGGCTGCAAAGGTCACCAACAAGGCAGCCGTGCTCTCAAGCGACCGTTTTGTAAGCCCTTTATCTATCGTTGTGCGCAACGTGCTGTTCTGCCTTTCAGTCCGCCTGCACGAAAAGCCACCCACCTTTGGCCATTCAGAGCGTCGCCCGTTCTTGTTTTCTCTGCAGGGCCTGTCTCACGTAGGCCGACATAGCCTCGCGCCTGGGCCATGTGTTGCAACTTTGCCCGTCTTGTACACGTTGGGTGTTTCAGTCCGACACATGAAAACGGTGGATGTGCAAAAACAAAACAAGAAAGAAAGAATGTAAATCGTACAGCCTTTGCAGTCCTCTTCCTGCACTGCGCCACCCAAACTGACACTGATGCCTCACGGCCGTTTTCACGCGCTGGCCTCTCGGCCGCTCCAGACGACCGTCGCTAAGCGCAAGACCGCCAGAGCGACCCGTGAAAGCGGCCACATGCATACCATACGCCTGCCCGCAGCGAACTACGGCCGGGCATCACGAAATCCGGTGGAAGACGAAGGGGACGAGGCAGGGCGCAAATTGCAACCCACAATGATTATTGTCGGGTATGCCCCTGCAGGATGGGGATACAGAAGTGATGCATCTGCAAGGCAAACCGGCCAGATGAAAGACGCCCACAACCGGTCGAGCGTCAAGCCACATCCTATGGCTGGCGAGATAGAAACAGGGCAAACTGAAGTTGGGTTGGACAGGCCGGCACTAGCCTTTGTCAAAGCCACTGTAAAACGAAAGCCCAGTCCGCCTGTAAAACTGCCCTGGCGTTTCGCGCCAGCCCACTCCGAACGTCCTCAGTGGACATTGGTCAGGCGGCAGGGCAGCTTTCGCATTCAAACGGCACGAACAGCACCTTTGCTAGGCACCCGTTTTTATGTGGGTGGTGTGAACGGGGCTTGTGACGAACGTTTTCGTTTCTAGATCATACCAGCCTGATGGGTCCAGACCAAGGCGAGCACATATCTTACCCTTGACGAGGTTGTTTTCTGTCCTGAGAATATTCACAGCGTATTATCACTGGTGGAAGCGCCATAATTAGATTAGTACGATTATCATCCAATGTCGTACATATAAAAGACAGTCTGAATACTACCGGCACGGGATAGTCAACAAAGGACAAGTAAACATACTAGGAATCAACATCCCGGAAACGATACCTTTTTGTAATTCACCAATCCCCGAGTAGCAGGTAGCCAGTTGGACGTTTTGTTCCGTCCTACAAGCCCCGTAGCATGGCTGGGTTACAACGCCGTAAGCAGTATTTTATAGCGGGTTAAGCCGTTAGAGGCACTGTAAAGCTACCGTAAGTCCTGTCATCGGATTTGAGTTTAAAACCTCTCAGATATCCTTGATTCCTACGTTTATTCCTACCTCCCTTTCACTTTTCTCCCTACCTCTTTGTATCTGCGAAGCTGTTAACGGTTACGGCTAGTCCAGTTCAAGCAATTGTCCGCCATGGGCGACCATCCCCCTAATATTCAGTTGCTTCAGGCAAGCGTTGATCCAGAAGACGAAAGCGAGTTCCGTGTTCTTGTCAACAACAAATTCGTGAAATATATTAGCATCGACGCTGGCCTGTATGGCAGTGACGAGATGTTCTTCGGGCCTGCTCTGATCTCTCTGCTGCCACCGATTCCACCCGGCGATTGGAACAAGGGCCGTATCTCCCGCCACCCCACAACCGGAGACCCTTACTTTGCTGCCGTCTCAAGAGCATATCTCCCAGGAATCACAAAGACCTGGCATCCCACTCGGGTCGACTACCTGGAGCTTCGCATGCAACGAAAACTCCGCTCCAACGTCTACGAAGCCACCTGCCCTCGCTTCAGTTCGGTGGTTATCGCGAAATTTGCGCGGATTTCCTGGGAGGTGCCCCAGCTCGAGGCGGAGACGGAGGCATACGAATGGATAGAGGGCCACCAAGTCGGTCCTCGTTTTCTCGGCCACTTGACGGAGGAGGGGGGAGTCATTGGGTTCATCATGGCCCGCGTCCCCGACTGCCTTCACGCCACGGTGGACGACTTTCGCCTGTGCTCTCTCGCTTTGTCCAAACTGCACGAGCTGGGGATCAAGCACGGGGACATCAACAAGCATAACTTTCTTATTCATGACGGGAAAGCGACCCTACTTGATTTTGACAATGCCTCACGGGCAGCCAGCGCCGATGAGCTGGAAGACGAGCTTCAGGAGCTGCGGGACAAGTTGCAGGATACGTCTGGGAGAGGGGGACGGATCGTGGAAAGTGGCCCAAGTTGAGTGTCTTGGCCGATTTTATGGACCGTTGGCGTGAACAGGAGGCAGAATATACACTGCCTGGTTGTCCCGTGATAAAAGTATAGGAGAGAGACATCGGAAAGCAAGAGTTATATTTGCGTTATATACGGTCGTCAAACAGGTTACGAGGGACGGACGTTGTACTTTTGAGATCGATGTCCTTGCTTTTGTTTATACAGCTGTCTGGTTGCTACTATGTACAGACTGTTGTGGCCTCTCTCGCTTTCCATCTGTCGTTGTCGCCGCCGGCTTGGCTGGGATCGGCTTGATGCGCGCCCACTCCTCAATGGTCAGCAGCGGCCGGTCAATGGGCAGCTCCTTGAGCACGGCATCCATGTCGACCACAAACGGGTCTGTCGGGCTCTCGTTGTACCACGTGTACGCCTTGAACATTTGTGAGACGATCCGGTCGACGTCAATCGTCGCCCGCTTGCGCATCGCCGCGCCCATGGCGTCGCAAAAGTCGGCGACGGTCTGGTTGACGCACCGGAGCTCCACGCCCCAGCCGCGCGACAGCTTCTCGGCCAGCTGCGCCAGCCGCACCGTCTCCGGCCCGCCAATGGGGATGTTGCGCCCGGCCAGGTGCGGCCGCTGCATGGCCGACACCATCAGCTTGGCCACGTCCATGTGGCTGATCCACGACGCCCGCAGCGACGGCTTGTGGCAGTACACGAGCGTGTGCGCGTCGCGGATCGGCGGCAGCGCCCAGCCCTCCAGCAGGTTTTCCAGGTAGCACACGGGCTGGATGCTGATCACGGCGAGGCCCTGGGCCCGCAGGTCGGCCCGGATCGTGCGCCGGTCGTCCTGCGCCCGGATGTCCTGGCTCTCGTCCGGCACCGGCATGCTCGTGTTGAACACGGTCAGCCGGACGCTCGGCGTCGCCTTGATCGCTTCGGCAATCACGTGCGCCCCTGCCAGGACGGTCTCGGCCTTTTGGAACGACGTCGACGGCAGGTTCAGGAACACAATCTCGGCGCCCGCGAGCGCCTGTGCGACGCCGGCCCGGTCGGCAAAATCGGCCGCCGCCGTCTCCACGGGCGTGCCGTCGACCTCGATCGGCTTGGGGCTGCGGCTGACGGCGACCGGGTGGTGGCCCGCGCGGACGAGCTCGACGACCTGGGCCTGGCCCTGCACGCCAGACGCGCCAAAAACGACGACACGCATGGTGGGTGTTGGCGTTGGGACTGTTGGAGGACTGTCGATGAAGTGGATGGTGGTGGCGGATATGTGGGTAGGACGACCGTGTTTCGTGGATGCCTGCTTGGCTTTCCTTTTTCGATTTCTCGGGCACGGTCTATTGCTTTTTGACGCCAACTAGGACAACATCTACGGCGCTCTCTTTTGCACGATGCGACAAACCGGCGACAGCACCGTGCCTTTTTAGACGTGATGTGGGTGACATCGGCAAAGATTATCCGCAGCCGTATGGCGGGGAAGGTCGTCAGGAGAGCACTGGATGCAGGATGAAGAACATCGGGAAGTGTAGATGCGGAGACGGGAACCTTATGTCGAAAAGAGAGATGGCCAGTGAGCCCATAAGATAGGCATTAAATCAAGGCATTAAATAAGGCAGACGTGTGGAGGTGGACGCTGCATGGTACAAATTGAACGAGGCAAGAGCGTCCAACACAAGGCAAAGACAAGTGCAGGAAGGTGCGCGGGGTGAGCCGAGACTGCGATATTGCGAGATCGCGAGACAGTGGCACCTTAACAAGCGTTTCCTAGAACATGGACCTCTCTTGTCCTGGATGTTGTGACATTGAACCTTTTGGCAGCGCCTGCAGCTTCATTTTCTTGACCTTCTTGGCTTGTCTCCCGCTATTGCCTTGGCTCGATGTCCTCCGCTCTGTCGGAGTATCTCTCCACCTCTCGGAGAATGTTATGCTTGGAGGCCAAATAGCCAATCAAACTACACAGGATGTTGTCCAGTAGAGAGGCTTTGGGGAAGTGGAGTTCTTGGAGACTTGGGGACGCTGTATGTACAGTCGTCTCCAGCAAGCTTCTGGGGATTGCCTGGTATCGGAGCTGCCGGACTTTCCGCGTTTACTTTCCGTCCGTGGTTCTTTCCCACGACGTGCGTGCTCGCTCTTTCCTTTTTGTGTCGTCCTGTCCATCGCGCCCCTTTTCTCAAGAATCAATTTGCATCCTCCGATTGCACTCCGTATTCACGGCTTCTTATTCCTCTCCGTGTTCTTTGCGGCGACCTCAACAACCACCTGTGACCACGTTTATCTCCCGAGTACAACGACTGATGCTCCGCATATGACCAGTTGCTTTGCTCTATCGGAGGATGCCGTCTCTTGTCTTTCCTTCTCCTCACAGCTTTTCTTCGAACTTTGTGTTTTCTGCTCCTCGATCCCTTTCTTTGTCTTCGCTCTCCACTCCTGAATCATTGGCCTCCGCAGGCACCCCCAGACACTAGCGGCAGACGAGGCAGAGTATTACGGCCTGGCTCGTCAATGGCTCGTGGCTCACCGTCACCTGCCCCACTTTGTCTTCTCCTGTCACCAACAGATAGCACCAACAGTGCCACCCGCCGGGAAAAGGTTATGCGGAGTGCGTGCGCGGAGCGAATCAGCTATGCTCATTTTGGGCGAAGCGGCATCCGTTGTGAGGCCGATCACCGCGTTGAATCTCGTTGACCTTGCTGGGCGATGCAGTTTCCCTTCCAAGCACGACCTGTCTCCCAGCAAAATCCTGGACTACGAACCAGCCTGGCGTCTTGGCGTTTAAGTCGGCACCTGATGACCTTCGTTTGCAAGAAACAAATGACATGGAAAAGCAAAGGCAAGGACAATATAACGATACCACAAGAAACTGACACGACGTGGACTAGTGGAGGCCGCACTAACAAGCACCAATCCACCGGACTCGGAGCGCGCTATGGCCCTGGCGCACGCGATTGAGTAAAGAAAGGACTAAAACGAGGATGCCACATGGGCGTGGCACACGATTGATACCCTCCCCCCGGCACCTTGCTACCGCCACCGTTCTCCAGGAAACGCTATTCTCATCTCCAGGAGTTAGAGAGCAGATGCGGGCAGCGACGGTTCCGCCCCCATGGGGCATCCGTGACGACCCAGCCAGAGGTGATTCCTTGGCAGCGACTGCAGGCCCCATCAACGCGGACGACATGATCCACGGACAAACGAAGGGCGAGAATGGAAAACAGGTTGCGAGGTAACGACAGATATAAAGAATAAAACGCCCGTCACTTAGACCTGTACGCTGATCTTTTATTTCCTTTTTTGATTTTTCTAATAAAAATTGTTAATCTTTCCCCAACCTGCCCTTCCTCCTCCCCCACTACCGTCCTGTCGACTACCCCAACCCTCATCACTCGAAAACCCTCACACTCACCATGGCCATCTCTCCGGCCGACCAGTACGAGGTCTCGCCGGCCACCAAGGAAGAGGCCGACATTGACGTCCACGAGCAGCGCTATGAAAACATTGATGCCGCGCCACTGGCGTTGGAGGCCAGCGATGGCAAGCTGACCAAGGAAATCATCCTGGCCTACTTTGCGCTGTGCTGCCAGATCAACGCGTACATTATGACCCTGCTCGTGCCGGGCGCCATGCTGACGGCCATCAACGCCGACCTTGGCCCCGACAACAACTATACCTGGATCACGCTCTGCTGGCCGCTCGGTGCCTCCGTGTTCGTCTCCATTGGTGGTCGTCTCACCGACATCTTTGGCCGTCGCTACTTTATGATTACGGGTGCGCTCATCTCCATTGCTGGCACGCTTGTGGGTGCCAATGGCAAGAGCATCCCCATGATGATCGTCTCGGGCGCGCTCTTTGGTGTCGGCAGCGGCTTCCAGGAGCTGTGCTACGCCTGCGCGCAGGAGATTGTGCCCAACCGCTATCGCGTCATGGCCGTCGGCGGCCTCGACGTGTCGCTGGCCTTGGCCTTTTCGAGCCCCGTCGTTGCATACGCCATTGCCGGGTACCACCCCAGCGTCGGCTGGCGCGGCGCCTACTGGTACCTGTTTGCCTTTCACACGTTTGCCTTTGTGATGCTGGTGCTCTTCTACCGGCCGCCCGACTACAAGACGAAGCACCGCGAGGACGGCAAGACGCGCTGGCAGCTGTTGATGGAGCTCGACTACGTTGGCCTGCTCCTGTTCTTGGCCGGCGGCGTGCTGTTTCTGCTGGGCATCAACTTTGGCGGCCGCACCTACGCCTGGAACTCGGCGGGCTGCATTGCGCCCATTGTCGTGGGTTTCTGCTGCTTCGTGGCCGTCGGCTTCTGGTGCGCCTACGCCGACCTCAAGTACCCGCTGTTCCCGCCCAAGCTGTTCAAGCAGGTGCGCGAGTTTGACATGGTCATTGTCGTGTGCTTTGTGGGCGGCATGCTCTACTACAGCATGAACGTGCTGTGGCCGCGCCAGTCGCAGGCCTTTTTCATTGGTGCCGACACGCCGGTGGTCATGAAGGGTGTCTGGGCCATCATCTTCTCGTGCGGTACCTGGGTGGCCGGTCTTTTGACGGTGTTTGTCTGCTCGCGCCTGCACCATGAGAAGTGGCAGCTCGTTGCCTTTACCGTGGTGCAGACGGCCCTCATCGGCTCAATGGCCTCGGTGGGCTCGGCCGACGAGACGCAGGCCATTGTCACCGTCGTAATCACGGCCGCCACCATCACGCCGCCGCAGCTGCTCTCGTTTACGATGCTGTCCTTTGGTCTCGCGGACCAGCGGGACCTGGGCGTCGCCGTCGGCCTGGCCGGCACCTTCCGCCTCTTTGGCGGTGCCGTCGCCACCGCCATCTACACGGCCATCTACTCCAACCGCCAGCTGCAGACGCTCCCCGGCTTCATGACCGAGGCCATCCAGCAGTCCGGCGTGCCCTTTTCAGACGCCCTGCTGAGCAGCCTGGTCAAGGCGGCCGCGACGAACACGCTGGCGGCCTACGAAAAGGTTGCGGGCGTCACGCCGGAGCTGGCGGCGCTGGCCGTCAACGCCACGAAGCAGTCGTACGTCAAGGGCTTCAGCCTGGTGTACCTGGTGGCAATCGCGTTTGGCGTGCTGGCGACGGGCGCGGCGCTGTGCACGGTCAGCACGGACCGGGCGAAGAAGAACAACGAGCGGGCGGTGGTGATGATGAACGAGGTCGACAAGTACCCGACGTCCAAGGCGGTATAGATGTGTGCGGTCCGGCAGCTTGCCTCATAGTCCTAGTCGAGATACATGAATGATGTACACTTTCCAGTATTCTGTATTCAGTGGTCACCGCCGTATGCAATTGGACTATTTACGGTTCATTGCACGGAGTTGGTGGATGATACGCTGCAATGATGCCCATTGTGCAATTCGATCTACTTGATTGCGGTCGTTAACCGGCCTGCTTAATCTATCCACTCTACACCTGTTCCTCGTACGGCTCCGTCTTGTCGACGATCTCACCGTGCTCGTTGTGCAGGGTGGCGACGATCTTGGCGGACATGTACTGTTCGGTGTCGGGAGCGAACCAGGTCATGGCGAGGGCGACGCCACTAAAAGCGATGGTGCTGAGGTAGACGGTGCGGTAGGCGTCGGCGTTGGCAACCTTGTAGGCTTGCGTACCGGCAGCAATGATGTCGGCAGTGATGCCGGGGACGGCAGCGAACGCGTCCGCGGTGCCGGCGGCCAGGGCGGCCAAGAAGGCGGCGACGGACGACTGCGGGAGGCCGGCAGCGACGACGGCCGGGGGCACCTCGCTGGAGACGGTCTGGGTCAAGCGGTTGGCGAGGACGGTGGAGTAGACGGCGACGAGCACGGCGCAGATGGCGGCGCGCAGCGAGCCGGCCATGCCGCCAGCGACGCCAATCTCGCGCTGGTTGCGGACGCAGATGGTGGCGTTGGCGAGGCAGACGGTCTCGTTCCAGCCGATGAAGAAGCAGCCAACGGTCAGGAGGGCGATGGCGAGGCCCTTGCGTGCGGGGTTGGTGGCGGCCATGGCGGCGAGGAAGACGGCGCCGAGAGAAAAGACGACCATGCACTGGTAGCGGGTCCTGCCGATTTTCTCGGCGAGCAGGCCGCCGACGACCTGGCCGCTGATGATGCCGAGGCCGACAATGTTGCTGATGCCGCCCAGGTAGGTGAGACTGCCGCCGCTGTTGTACATGACGGCGGCCTGGGCCGGCCAGATGATGGCAAAGGCGTAGTAAACGCCGGCGCCGAGGCCGAGCAGCACGCAGGCGGCCACCCACTCGACGTTCCGGAACAGGTGCATCGGGAGCAGGGGCTCGCGCAGCGGCGCGTACATCTCCCAGAGGACAAACACCACCAGCGTGACGCCGCCGACGACAATGGGGCCAATGGTGCCGGCGGCGTTCCAGGGATAGACAGAGCCGCCCCAGCTGAGGCCAAGCAGGAAGACAACAAAGCCGCCGCTGAACAAGACCGTGCCGACGTAGTCGAAGTGCTTGATCCAGTAGGTCTTGGTGGCCTGTGCACCGCGTGCGTCCGCGTGGACCTTGGCGAAGGAGGGCGGGAAGTAGAAGAGGACCCAGCACACGAGGGCGGCGCCCTCCAGCGCCAGGAGCAGCCAGTAGACGCCGCGCCAGCCGACGGGCCGCTGCACAAAGGCGAAGGCGATTGAGGGCCCGACGCCGGAGCCGGGGAACGTGAAGCAGTACAAGAAGGCGTTGCCGACGTAGCGGTAGCGCATGGGCACCAGCTCGCCCATGACAAAGTGGAAGGACAGCTGCGTCGACGTGGCCAGGCCCAGCAGCACGTTGCCCCCGACCAGCACGGGAATCGTTTTGGCCGTGGCGCACACAATGGCGCCGACGACGCCCACGGCACCACCGCCGATGAACCAGTAGCGGCGGCCGAAAATGTCCGACAACCGGCCCACGAGGGCGAGACCAACGGCCAGCACCGCGTTGTAGACGAGGGAAATCCAGATGTAGCGCGGGTCGGGGCCCAGGTCGTCGTTGATCTGCGCCAGGATGGGCGCGGCGTACCCGAAGCAGGACACGGCACAGGTCAGGCCGAGGCCGACGGCGAGCATCGACCCCAGGAAGAAGCGGCTCGTGAAGTAACCCTTGGGCAGGTCGGTCAGGTCGGTCTCGTAACCGACGACGGCCTCGGACGTGCTCGTGGCCGTCAGTGTTTCCTGGACGGGCAACGCTGCGGCGTCCGTGCCGTTGCTGGCGTCGGCGTGGTCGACGTGCTGTAGCTCGGCCGACTCTTTGCTGGATGTCGTCATGGTCGGAAGGGAGTTGCTAATGCGTGAAAACGAAAGGATGATTACAGAAAAAGAAGAAAAGACAAGCAATGTCTCGCCCAGATAGTACTATAGCTGGGTTGATTCATGGGCGAGAGGAACAGCATCAGAATGAATGAGCAAGATCGGCGCTCTTTATAGTGTCTTGTGGAGGCGTGTTATCGTTTTCCTTGTCACCACTTACACCCAGTCTAGCATCCAACCCGAAAATCCAACCCAAGCAGATTGTTGCTTTTGGTCATGCTGTCTCTTCATCCTCTCTTCTTCTCGTCAATCCATTTACTTGCTTGTTTTGGTTCTTGCTAGAGTACATTACAGATAGAGACAAAGCATGGCATCGAACAAAGACGCATTGATCTGTCCGCGACGGACCACGAAACCATTCTGCAAAGCAAAGTTCGCTGCAGCGCTGCGAATGTACGGTGTCGAAAACATGACACTGCTCGAGGCGGGGGCAGCGCAGGAACCCCAGAGTCGCGGATCGTCTGTCGAAAGAGAGGGGCGCGACATAACAAGGACAGGGCAAGAGGATGTGGGGGTGTTGCACGACTCTAGTAGGATGTTGCCCAGTGTCTCCGTCACAGACAGATCAACGACGTCAGTTTCCTCGCTGAGGTTTACACTGGGGCAGAGGAGTATCTGGCGGTGATGCGTGCGGAAGTCCTTATCCGTGATTAGAGTCGATGCGCCGCATCACGCAAATTCAACGCTGCCAAGTCAAGACTGCGGACGGGGCCATCATGGCAACGACGCACGCGACGACGACGGCATTTGATTATGGGCTAGGACAACTAGAGTTTGACGTTGGACGCCTTGGGAGTAGTCCACATCTGGTCCTATTCTTAGATGGAAACCAGCACGGGAACGCTATGGCATGCACTTTGTCCCCCTCCTTTCCTCTTGTTTCTTGTATCTACTATTTACCGCCAAATACATACCCCCTTTCTGCATCTGCCTGGGGCCCCTTGTGTCTTGTTGTCTACTGCACCTTCTTGCTCCTCTTTGCGGTCGTCTTTATCATCCCAAAGGTAACAGGTGTCTAGATTGTACGACAATGTCGCCTACGAGGATGCTAGATACGACTTATATATTTATTTACAAACGACGACAATAAATACAACCCCAAGAAACCAAAAAAGCAAAAGCATAAAGGGCAGCAACTTAGTAACATAGAAGCTTGCGAATTTTATGGAAGCAGGTAAGGATGAACGGCTGACCAAGAAGGACGAATGGCTGACCAACGATCGACGACCACGGCTCGCACTGCCAATGGTATCAGGAGTAGCCTCGCGTGGGTTGCTTTGACAGGTTCATGTTTGTTCCTAGGCCTGTGTGACTCTCGTACGCGTTATCCGCGTGGTACAAAACAGGTAAAGTTATGACCGAGTACGAGGCAAAGTACGCCAAGGACGGCGACACCGTCGGCGGCAGCCCCGTGACGGGCCAGCTTCTCTTTGCGGACACGATTCGCAAATTCTCGTTCGGCGAGGTTGCCACGGCGGCGGACGTGCTCGAGGCGCTGAAGGAGGAAGTCGTGGCGGCGTTCAGCGGCGACGACTTGGCATTCATTGAGGACGCCAGCGGTTTGAAGGTGCGCGTTGACGGTGCGGGACAGGATATTTGACAGGACTTTTCACAGTTCGCGTGTGGTTCTGAAGATACTTTAGGGATACGGTATAGTTTTGAATTCAGTAGTAGGATAGACTACCAAAGCACAGCGTTTGATTCGAAATAATATAAAGGGGAGCTGAAGAAATATATAGGCTGGCGAGTACAAGTGGGTTCCGGCATCTTGCGTCTCCGCCTCATCTACTCCTGCAATCCTTGCACATAGGCGACGGATGCTCATAGCCTGGCGATGGAGCGAGCATCATGAGTGATAATATTAGACAGTACTATAATTTAATGTCACTCGGAGATCTAGACCACCACACTGGAATCCGTCCTTCTTGGACCCAAGGGATTATTACCATGAGCCATGTAAGTCTTTTGAGTGTCGATCGGCATTCCATCTCGGACCGGTTTATTTCTATCCGTCGTATTTGATTTGCCGTGTTATGGAGGCCGTCCCGGAGTGGTTTCGACCGATAATCATCGCCGCTCACTGGCCTCACGTGTTTCCTCATGTGTGAAGTTTCGTTAAAATCACGAATTAAATCACTGCATCCTGATTTTCTTCCTGTTCTTCTCTTATATCGACGCCACTCCCTTCTTTCCCTGGCTGGGCCACGTTGTTTCATGGCCATGGCCCCGGCCGGGCCGCCACGGCCAGCGCCCGACGTCATTGTCAGCATTTGCCCACCAATGGTTACGCGCCGGCCGCTTATCGCCAATCAAGACGCAATGACAGGCCAACTGCAACACAAAGCCTGTTTTGTTGTTAAAGGTATGTGAACGACGTCAAGAAACCAGGATGATGGAAGACCATCAAAAAAAGAAGAAGAAGAAAACAACATGGCAGACATAGACTGCGCAAACAAGGACCTTGTTCGTCTTTGACGAAGCGGTCGATTGTTGTTTGTATCCACGACAAAGACGACATCCGCCCTTATTGTTCTATTTTGTTCGTCCTTTGGACTGTCCAAGGGCGATCTTTGAATTGTGATTTGACATGCCTTCAATATAATCCACAGAGCGTCCTCATCTTTATTCTCCTCGTCATCATATTTCTCTCACTATATCGACCGACCGTTGCTCCCACATCATCAACGCACTCACGACAATCAAAATGATACCTATACGACACACGCAGCACATCGCCGTCACACTGTTGGCCGCCGCACTCACGCAGCCGACTGTCGCATCAATACACCCAACACAAACAGCCTATGGCACAATACGCGCTACACCGGACCCGCTGCCGCCGGACCAGATCGCTGCCCGCAATGCCGCCCCAGATGCGGCCACGACCGTCACCGCTATGCCCAGCTTGCCGAGCAACGCGCCCGAGTACACGTCCGACACGCTCTTCCAGTCGGCCATTCTCAACAGCACCAACTTTTTTCGGCGCGAACACAATGCCACCGCCGCCACCTGGAACGCCACCATTGCCCAGTTCGCCGCCAGCTACCTCGACGGCGACGCCGACTGCACGTTTGCCCACTCGGGCGGGCCCTACGGCGAAAACATTGCCGTCGGCTTCCAGACCGTGCACGGCGCCATTGACGCCTTCGGGCTGGAGCGGCGGCTGTACGACTTCAATCACCCGGGCTTCAGTGAAGCCACGGGGCATTTCACGCAGCTGGTGTGGAAGGCGAGCACGACGGTCGGGTGCGCGCGCAAACTGTGCGGCGGCGCCGCCGCCGGCATGAAGAACACGGGGTGGTTCCTGGTGTGCGAGCACTGGCCACGGGGCAATGTGATTGGGCAGTTTGCGCAAGAGGTCGACCGGCAGACGAGCGGGCCGGGGGCTGATGGCGGTGACGGCAACGGGGATGGAGAGCCGTCGGCAGCCTCCGGTAAGCCGTCGATGGGCGGCGTGGCGGCCGCCGTCGTCGTTTTTGTGATGATCACGGCAGCCTTTGCCAACGATGTACGGCTGACCGTAGCGGATGCATGACAAAGGGGTCAGATAGGAGACGACATACGACGCACTGTACGGAGTACAGAGCAACTCACATAGACGATAGAATAGCGACATGATTGTTTTCACTGTTCACCGCTCCTAGAAAGTACTCCTCCCCCTGCGTAGTTCCCGAACTCTGACCTCCTCACCTGCTCACCGACTCCAGACCCACAATCGCAAAATCAATGCCCATGTCATCTGCATGAATTCCACAGCATAGAGTAATTCGTAATGCCCCGTAACAGAGAACAAGCTGCTCTTCAATCAGGTCGGCGTGCACAGACGACCAGCGAACAGCCCGCCAGGACAATACGTTGAGCGACAGCCATTCACAACCCACACCTCTGGCAGACTGGCTGGTACCTTCGACTCGGACTTACGCCTTGCCACTGACCCCCGCACACGGGTCCGGTCTCGGGCACCCACAGGACTTTCCGTCTCACACCCCCCAACCCCGTTCTCCGGCTCGTCATCTGTATCGTCGGGGAAGACCAAGTTGTGCCTAACGTGTGGGGGATGCGACCGAAACAGACAAGAATGGACACGAACGGACGAGTTTGGACACATATTGGAGGGCGTGCATATGCGCGGCGGCCTGAGCCACGGCCTGTTAGCTCTGGGCTGTTCCTTGTCGTGTGTTGGACCACTTCTGGCTTGTCGTATTAGTAGTTGTATTGATTTGATGTTTTTCAAAAGTCATCCGTCGTAGCCTCTGCTTCGCTCTTTCCTTGTTTGACGTTGTTTGTGCCCCGTGTTGTGCATGGCTACTTCCTCATCTTTGGACACCCAATGGACTGTGCAATTCTGTGCACCGGAAATACCCATTCAATTTGCACTTTTAGCAATTCCCTGACCGAAACAGTAAAGTGAGATAGGCATACCAACAAGCTCTGCCAATCGCCGTCTTCGTCTGCACAAGGCAAAGACGCCGTGGAACAGTGCAGAGGTAGCAGCACAGGAACCGGTCAAGAGCGACAGGTTGGACGGCAAGACCACCCGGCAAGAGGTACCCACTTTTCGAAGCCCGTCGTGACTGCCCTGTGGTTCAGCAGCCTCTGTGCAGCAGCATCGCTCGTGCTGCTTCTATGGTGGGAGGCCCGTTCAGGCACTTTCCGTAATGTCGCTCTTCTTCCCCTTACGGTCTTTCCTTTGTTTTGCACTTTTGCCCTTGGCGTATTGGAAGCACCTTTTTGCACCTTTTTTTTGCATCTCTTCGCCTCAAATCCGCGCATCGCCAGTCGTGTGTCCTGGGCGTTCACAGCTGCCCTGCCCACGCACATCATCATTCACTATTGGACCCCATTGGTTATTTCAGTAAGTATTAATACCCTCGTCCTGTCTTCTCGACCTGTTCCGTCCATCGTCGGCAACGAGCCGTGCTTCTTCCTTTTGATCCTTGTATCATTTTCATCATTTCTACGATTCGTATTTGTGTCTCTTTTGTCATCGTGGATCCTTTCTTCTCCCTTTCTTCTCGCCTCCTTTGTCTCCAAGTCACCATTACGGCACCCCGACGTTTCAAAGTCAAAAGCCGCTAGTGCGCGGGCTTTTCTTAATTGCGGAGCCTCCCATATGAGCATGGGGCATAGCTCAGCTCCGTCGCCGCCATTTGCCTTTTGTGCCATTTCTGCATTTCCGCCTCTAGCTAACGATATCCCTAACGCAACCCGCTAGGCAGATCGTCTCTTACGTTGGTCCGAACGCAACTGGCTCTGTGCCTGCCAGCAGAAAAGCTCACGCACACAAAGCAGCCTGCAGCAACCACCCATCACCCGGCCTGTCACATCCCTCGATTACGCAGCGTCGGCAGCAGCCTGCGTCTCACATTGATGACGGCCGTTCTCACGAATCCATCTCATTGTCGCAATTACCCTCACGCCGTCTGGTGTTGAATGCCCCGGTAATCTAGTCCCCCATCGTCGACGTACCGCGTCCCGAAGGCATCGAAACCCTGTACGTCACCAAATCCGCATCCCGTTCTTAAAGACGGGGCGCTGCCATTGCATTGGACCCTGGCATCCGTCGCCGACCTCTGTCATTTTCGTCGTCGTGTTTTCTTCTGTTTCTGCATTGATTGCTTGCTTTCGAATTTGGCAACAGCCATCTACCTACCATCGCGCCTGGCACAAGCTGCGGCCCGTTGTGGATTGTCTCTTGTCACTAGATTTACATATTTGCTGACACTGGTACGCTTGGCCCGACTTCCAGCCTCGCCGCGATCCCATCAGACGACGCCATTTCACCATCTCTTCATCTCCTCCGTCCACTCTCCTCCACCCACAGTCTTTCTGAGACGTCATGCCGATGCGCCCGCTCGAGCCGAATCTCCATCGAAGCCTTCCAATCTCAAGTGCCGCCTAATACTAGACCGACACCTCCATCCCTCCGTCTACCCTCCATCTTCTCGACCTCCTCCTCGGCCATATCCATTATCGAAGCCATTTTGTCTCGCCATCGAACGACACGACCCTCGATACTCCTTTCCTCCTCGTCTCGCTTCCCCAGTCACGCGACTGGAAGCAATCGGATCTGTGTCCGTCGCTCACCATGGACGAGAACCTCGAGGCGCACTCGCCCATCCCGGGCTACTTGGCCGCCGCCGCAACCTCCTCCCATGACTTCCTCGCCGGCCACTTCTCCGTCGATACCATCTCGCGCGCCACGTCGCCGGGCGTGCCCTCGTCCGTCACCCCCGACGACGACGGCAAGAAGCGCTACCGCCCGCGCACCTTCAGCTACTTCAGCCAGCTGCCCTACCCTGTCGAAGACGAGTCGGAGCGCGACGCCACCCTCAATCTCATCCTCAAGAACCTCTACATTGCCATCAAGGCCGAGGACTTCACGCCAGGTGCCTTGCACTGGACGCGCGAGCTGCAGGGATGGCTCAACCTTAAGTTTGAGATGACACGCGAGCAGCGCGCCAGCCTCGCCCAGCTCTACTACCACCTCGCCCTCGCGCCCGGCCTCGAGACCACCGCCACCGACCGCTTCTGCCGCATGCTCATCACCCTGACAAAGAAGCGGCATTACCTTCGGCCCGGCGAAGACCTCACCCTCGA